CTCTGGCCCCTTCCCTCGCCTGTCGCCCGCCGCTGCTTTCGCACGCGCCAGAATGGCTTTTGTGGTCTGAGACACACTCATTTGCTGTCCTGATTTCCAAAGCTCCACGTGCTCAGCGCCGAAAACTTGCAGCTCATTTGCTCTGCAGATGTTCAAGGAGCGCCTACTACGTGTCAGGCGCTGTGGACCCCAGGAGGTGCTGGGAGGGGAGGAGCTGGAGCGGTGGTGGGGGAACTAGAGCCTCTGCGAGTGTTTATTTGTTCAGCAAGTCTTTACAGAACCCCCCGCTGTTTGCCAGGTACTGCCACCGCCCGGTCTGTCCTCATTGGTCGAATGACTGAACAGGAAAGCCAGACATCAAACAAACTGGAAACGTAGAAGACAGGGGAAAAGAACAAAGGAAGAGCAAAATCACCCTAATCCCATACCCCTGACAATATTGAGGGATTTGTCCTTCCAGTTGTGGGAGTTCAATGTATTTCTTTCATTTCAAATGCGTGCCCTTTCTGCTCACATCTGTTCCCGACCCTCTCCTCTGATTTTCCTCACAGGTATTCCTCCCTCCTTAGCATCAATCGGGCGTCAGACAGAGCAGTGGAGGATGATGCCAGACTGAAATGAGACCACCTGCCTTCAGGTGCCAGCTCAGGCCCCTCAAGTCCTAGATGGACAGCTTTGTCTTTTACCTTCTAGCTTTCAGTCTTCCACTGGGTGCTATTGCAAATCATTAATTCTTGTAAATCTGAACTGAGTGCCTATAGCGTTCTAGGTCACTCATGAGAAGACCGAGGACAAATTTGCTCTCTATTTGTTTCCCACAACAACAACAATAACAAAAAAAAAAAAAAAAAATGGTGTCAATAATGTCTATTTGTGACCACGCCAAGCTGGCTTGCTTTATTCTAAATCTCAGACCCTCTGACTTTCCCTTGTCCCTCATGGACCACAAACTGTTGAAAAGCAGATGCGTTTTTCAGCCTCTTTAATAAATGCAGTGAGGAGAGTCAGGGCAAAGTTACTTTCAGACTGTGGGGCTCCCCCATGCCAAAGCATTCAGACTAAGATGTGGAAAAAAAAAAAAAAAGCCAGCAATTATCCGAATGTTAAACAGCTGAATATTTGGTAAGCTAAATCTTTGACTGATTTTTAAAAACTTCTTTTACACGTGTTTTCATGTTTGAGAAAGGTCCTGAAACAGAAAACAAAAGTCAACCTCTTTTTTAACTTTTAAAAAATTGGTAAAATTGAACTCGCAGTAAACTAAGTGGAAACAGTAGCAAGTGACAGATTGGTGGAAAGTTTCCTTTTCCAGTCTCCATGCCAACGCTAGCATGGGAATGCAACGGGTAAATGTAAAAACCAGTCAACATGGATTTGAACATTCCTACAACTTTTTTTTTTAATGAGCTATTTCATATTTGCTACTATTGAGCTCCAGCTTGGGTATTCCCTGCTTCTCCAAGCACAAAAACAGGATATGCCAACCTAGAAAATCAGATTTCAAAAGTGAGGGTTTGATATAGGGCCCTTTGGAAAACAATCTTCATAAGGCTGTTTTGAAACAAGGTTGGAAGCACTTAAAAATTGGGTTGGTTTAGTTCCATGTTGTTTCTTTTGATCATGTTGGTTTCTTTTAATTGTTTTAATGTTTTAGAGGAGAAAAAAAGTCTCCTAATGTGACAAACGGTTGCATCTATGGCCAAGTTAGAAAAACGAAGCCTGAAAGTTCTGTCTTATAAAAAGAAAGATGAAAAGTTGAGTTTGAACTTATTTAGAAAACAAGTTATGTAGGAAAACCAACCTATCAACACTGAGATTCAAATTGAAGAGTAGATTATCTATTTTAGTCTCCTTATTGTTGCAACTTGTTGATAATGTCACACCATTCGTTCAGTCCAAGGGAAAGTATAGAGAAGAGCCAAACTTTGTGTAGTTCCAAGTGTAGCTGATCATTAAGGCTTGACTGAAATGAAACATCAGTACCAGAAAAGCCATAGGACCCTGTGCTTGTGAATTCAACCAACCTGCATAATAATCTTGAGTCACCACTGGACAAGTACTTAACCTTTCTAAGCCTTGTTTTCCCAACTGTAAAATGGATATAAAATACCAGAAACATGGGGTACAACCTCCATGGGGTTTAATGAACATGGTATCTGTAAAGTCCTTAACAGTGCCTAAAACTGACTGGGAGCTCTGCTACTCCTTAGTAAGTCTTATTTAATGTCCTCTGACAACTTCAGCCCAAACTGGAAAGTTGTTATTTTTGTTCTGCCACCATTTTAAAGTTGTGTCCAGCTTGTGATTTGGGTCCTTGTTTATAATCTCCCATAAACCCCTCTTGGCACAATGATGGACATATAATGGGCACTCGGAAATAATTGATGTTCCATAGGAGTGTGTCCTTTGAGAACGTTCTGGACATAGGTCAAAGAAAACAGTCTACTAGTGTGGACACATTTAATTACTGGATCAGTTGAAGATCATCAGCAAAAAGCAAGTGGAACAGATACTTTACCTAATCTAGCTGTTCACCCTGCCATTCTACTCAGTGAACAGGTGACTGAAATAGGTGAGCAGGAGACAGGAGATACAAACCTCACTCACTGCAGTCATTCTAAGACCCAGGCTGATGAAATCTCATCTTAACCTGTGCTTCATGATTGCCAGTATAACTTGGTGCTATGGATTGATTATGTTGTGTTCTTCCCCAAACAATTTTCTGCTCCAAATCTGTAGTACCTGTGAATGTGACCTCATTTGGAAGTATCATCTTCGCAGATGTAATTAATTTAGGTGAGGTCATACTGAGCAAAGTGGGCCCCATATGGCAATGACTAGTGTCTTTTTAAGAGAAAGAAGAGAGGTTTGGACAGAAACACACTCACAGGAAGAAGACCAAGTAAAGGTAAAGCAGAGATTGGAGTGTTGCATCTCCAACTCAAGGAACACCCAGGAATCCCCAGAACTTGCAAGAGACCAGAAAAGATTCTTCCTTAGTCTTCAGAGGGTGCATGGCCTGAATGATACCTTGATTTTGGAATTCTAGCCTCTTGAATCATGTGAGAGTAAATTTCTGTAATTTAGTCACCTAGTTAGTGTTATTTCTTATTGTAAAAATAGTATAGGTAGGTAGGATTGGAGAATTGCTGGAGCTTTGGAATACCTCTCCTGGAACTGATGTATATGACATCTGCTCCTAGTTTAGCGAGCAAAAAAGGTCACACAACTGAACTTTAAGAGGATGGACAATGCAAGTCTGCAGTACATTCTGGTTTCCAAGGAGAACCAGCAATCTGGTAAGCAGCACCATATTTTATAGGGTAGGGATCAGTCATGGCTCAGACTTCTTAATGAACATAATGAAATTTGAATGGCTTTAATAATTACTACAAATAAAAATGTTGTGCTCTTTCCTCTGTGTGTGTTTCTAGTTCAGTATTCCTTATATTAAAATTTTACAAAGACTCCACAAGAGAGTAAATGTGTAAGCTGGTGTTTTCTTTTGGGGGGTAATAAACTGTCACTCATTCATTCTTTTTTTTTTTCAACTGATATTTCCTAAGTATTCTAAGGCCAGATGCTGTGACAGGCAGTAGGGATGGTGAGCAAAGCAGAGGTAAAACAGCCCCACTGGGAGTTTGTAATCAAGGCTTGACTTTCAGTACCAGTGAAAGGATATATATCAAATAATTAGACAATCATATCATTGCAGGAAGCAAATGAAGGGTGTCAGGAGAGGAGACCTAAAGTTTTCTGCAAAGTAAGCATGTCCAACTAAGAACTCAAGCTCGAGAGTGAGATTTAACTGACATGAGAATGGGGCCAGCAGGACTGGGCATTTCAGGCAGTAGGATTAGCATGTCCTTGAGATGGGTAAGAGTATCCTTTTCAGGGGAGGGGCTTGAAGGAGTCCATAGGGGAAACCTGGCACAATGATACACTTGCTTATTTCACTTTGGATTGCTTCCCTTCACAAATATTTATTTTACAAACTCAAGGTGGGTGACAACTCTGGTGGACGCCTGTCATTGCCATTGTTCTAACAGCTGTGCTCACTTTTTTTTTTTTAAAGAGCTAATATTTACTTATACACGCATGAACTGGGGTGCAGGGTAGAGGCTCAGGAGGTGAAAGAATTCACCAGAGACAGAGTGGGGAGCAGAACAGGAAGATGTACTGAAATACACTGCTGAAGGGAGCAGTGGGCAAGTCAGGAGAGGTCTGCTGCACCATGTGCGTCACTTCCCTGGCAGGAGATGCAGTGGCTGCAGATAGCTTCATAGTGCTGCACTTTAACCCACTGCACCACAGGAAGGACCCCCAGCCTGTGCTCACTTTGTGTCTCTGTGATTCGTTTGGCGGTCTTCTTTCATACATTTTCATTATGATTTTATCTGTGATAGTGTTCTACAATCAGTGATATCTGATGTTATACTTCAAACACTTCACTAACAACAACAAAAATAACTCACTGAAGGCTTCGATGATAATTAGCATTTATTTTGGGTATCTATATATATATTTTAATGTGCTAATGCATACCAACCAGACTACAGTATAGGACAAACCAAAATCAAAAATTTAGTGTGACTTGCTTTACTACAGTGTTTGCTTCATTGTGATGGTCTAGAACTGAAGCC